TCCCTTCCCTTCCCTTCCCTTCCCTTCCCTTCCCTCCCCAGAAGTGCAGCAGCCGTTTTGGAGACAATACTTGAAAATGTATTTTCTTTCTGGCAGCCCCACAGTCTCTGAATCCCATTCCTGGATTCATTCCAGGAGGTTATTCTGGCAAATAATTTACATCTCCATGACTCTTCTGAGGCAAACAGACCTGGGGACTTTTCTGTGCTCCTCCTGCTCTCAAAAGTTTTTGCCCATAGTCCCTTAAGTCAGCGGTTTTATAGGAACAATAGAACAGGAAAGTTCCTCTGTTAGCCCTGTGTGAGGATGCTAGGGATCTTAAGGGTACTTTTTGGCTGTGAACCCTTTCCAGCCCATGTGAGCAGCTACATTCACATCACCACCACTACTGTGTTCACAACCTTTCCCCTTCTCTTTCATTCAGGTATGTCTCAGCTATGACCACACCAGCTCGCATGTCACCCATCGATTTCCACACTCCGACTTCTCCCAAGTCCCACCCCTCCAAAATGTCACCACCGGCTTCCAGCTTGACTGTCTCTGTCCCTTCGGTGGCAGTGAGTCCCTTCATAGAAGAGGAGCGACCACTGCTCCTGGTGACCCCGCCGCAGCTACGTGAGAAGTATGACCACCACCTTCAGCAGTTCAACTCTTTTCACCACAATGCTGCCCACGAGAGCAACAGCCTGCCACCAAGTCCTCTGCGGATAGTGGAGGATGAGGAGTATGAGACCACGCAGGAGTACGAACCAGCACAGGAGCCTCCAAAGAAACTCACCAACAGCCGGAGGGTCAAAAGAACAAAGCCCAACGGCCACGTTTCCAGCAGGGTGGAAGTGGACTCTGACACTAGCTCTGAGAGCAGCAGCTCTGAGACCGAAACCGAGGATGAAAGAATAGGTGAGGATACACCATTCCTGAGCATACCAAACCCCGTGGCAACCAGTCTGGAGCCAGCCGCTGCCTACCGGCTGGCTGAGAGCAGGACTAACCCAGCAAATCGGTTCTCCACAAAGGAAGAATTGCAAGCAAGGTTGTCCAGTGTGATAGTTAACCAAGACCCTATTGCTGTATAAAACATAAAACACATAGATTCACATGTAAAACTTTATTTTATATAATGAAGTATTCCACCTTTAAATTAAACAATTTATTTTATTTTAGCAATTCCGCTGATAGAAAACAGGAGAGGAAAAAAAAACTTTTATAAATTAAATATACGTATGTACAAATGTGTTATGTGCCATATGTAGCAATTTTTTACAGTATTTCAAAAATGGGGAAGATATCAATGGTGCCTTTATGTTATGTTATGTTGAGAGCAAGTTTTGTACAGTTACAATGATGGCTGTCCCATAGTATTTTGCAAAACGTTCTATCCCTCAGTTGTCCTGGCTTTTTTGTGCACTGCATTATAATGACTGGATGTATGATTTACAAGAACTGCAGAGGTCCCTCTGGTCGCTTGTTGTAGAATCCCCAGATCAAAAAGCCCTGTAATGGCACTCCCACCCTACCCACCCCATGAGAAAAACGTATACACACACACACAGAGAAAAAAAAAGGAAAGAAAAAAAGCTAGAAAAACAACAAAAATATTTTCTTCTCTAAAAAGTTTTATTTGTTTTCTGTATGAAATGAGTTTTGTCTGCTCTCTGCCAGCCAAAAGGTTTGCTGCTTTGAGCACTGGGGTAACAGTAGATCCAACAGCATGCTACTATTAATTACAGCAGGATAACAAAAATAAAAATTAAAAACCACCAAAACAAAAAACCCCACACCTGCATTAAATAATGATACTTATAGAAAGAAAGTAATACTGTGATTTTAAACCAAATATATTATTAATCAGAGGACAGCTTGTAATCACTAGGAGCTGCTATTTCATTATTTTTCAGATACTAATTGTTCTAGTTATCCCTTAGAAAATGGGTTTAGGTTAACTGAGGCTGTGAACCCAATACTCTATTTAAAAAAAAAAAAAAAAAAAAAAAAAAAAAAAAAAAAAGGGAAAAAAAAGGGGAAAAAAAAAAGGAAAAAAAGAAAAAAATTTACTTTAAGTTAATGGGGCAAATATAATAGCAGATACCTGTAACCAAGCAAGGAAGAGAGCTAGCTGGGAAACAAATGCCACAAATAAAAGTGCAATCAGTTTTCACCTCTAATTTTTAATGTTGAATTTTAGTAGATGATTTATCCTTTTGTTTCTCCTCAATTTTCTCCCCTTTCTTCTCTTCCTCAGAAAGAACCCTGACAACCTGCTAGCAATACCTTGTTAGAGTTGCTGTTGGAGTAAGGGTTACTCTTGGACACAGAAGTGACTTTCAGGGAAGAACTGATTTGCTGAATGGTTAAAAAGTATAGGCAAGTAGGAAGGACACAGAAGTATGGAGTTCATTTCTACTCGCCTTTATTGACTCCATTATTTGGGGTGAGAGACACAAGGCTGATGCAAAGTCCATTTATGAAGGCAAGCACACCATGTGAGTTACAGCCATAGTGTGTGTGTCTGATATCAGTGTTTATACAGCCAGTGATGGTATTGAAGTCTTCAGTAATGAACAAGGATGCTGTCAGTGCTGGAGTGGCTGCATCCATTCAGACAGAAGCAAATGGCCTCTTTTGCACTGAATTCCTATCAGTTTAGTCAGGGTCATACTGTCTCTTCTCTCCTTTTGATTTTTGTTGTGTGTTCAGTTGGCATAGCATAGACTCAGGATTGATGGGGAAAACAAATGTTTTTCCTAGACTCTGGGGATTCTAAAAATGAGAACATATGTTTTACAGGTATTACTAGACTCTAAATAGAGCCATTGTCAAGAGAAAAAGAATTTCAGCCAAACTGCACTCATCCTTTGGACCACATCCTGGTCCCATTTAAATGAAGAGAAATGTCAAGGAAATTTTGTGAGATGTAAACCCGAGGAACTAAGGTCCTGACTCAGTAAATTGTTCAAGCATATGCTTATGCTAATCTCAGCAAAAATTATCTTCAGCATGTGCTAGACTCCCATTGACGCATCCAGTGCATGCATAAAGTTAAACATGCTCTTAAGAGTTTTGCGGAGCAAGGTGTCCTGTTGATTTGAGACCTGAAAGCAAAGTCTAGTAAATGAAGCTATTTATTAGGATGATGAAAGCCAGTGAGTTGCTCACTGTATAAATCAACCATATCACATTAGTAAGAATACGGGTGAGTCTACCTGACCACCAGATATATCAGAAAAAGAACAAAAAAACCCTTAGTATAGGAAAGAAGATGATGACACAGTTATGCACTAGGATGTTGGCGGCAGAAGAAAAAGTCTAGGAAACTAGCACAGCTTTGAACTATGTGGTAGCTGAAATGGTACTGCTTATTTGAGAAGTCTATGGGAGATGGCAATGTTTGTCAAATACATACTGTCTGGACTTAAGTCCCCTTTGCTGTTTTTTCCCTAGCTGGCAGGTACTTGAACACTTTGCCTTTGCAGACCAGAACAAAATCTCTCTATGAATTCTAGAGACCATACACTCATTTTGATTCCTTTAGTCATGCCTATTTATCTGCAGTCCCATGCAGTAGAACATCCAGCTCCTTATTAACTGTGACTCAGTAGTACAGAGGGCCAGGTGGGCTTTCCTGCTGTAGATCACCAGTTTCCAAAGGATTTGCACTGTTGAGTTTCCAGAGGCACTTGAAAATGTGTCCTTCCAGTAAGGTCTCCGATACTGCAAAGATCTTACATGACAGACAAGACGGAAAAAGGATGGCAGAGGAACAAGAGATTTGCTCCAAAATCACCCATTTTAGTGGCAGAATAGAGATTATATAACACAAGTCTTCTGTAATCTCATCCATATAGATCACCAACAAGGCAAGATCTCATGGAAGTGTGTGTGATAGCCTAGATTAATCAGGAAGGAAAGGAACTTGCCTTGGAGTACATTATTTGATTATTGGCGCTGTTATTATAGAGGGCCAGTATAAAATGAAGGGGCAGTTGCATGCTTGGGAGCTGTACATGTGAGATTTATTTGGTGTGGGTCTAGGGGAAAATGTCACACCTCTGCTGTTGCAGTGCCTCAAAGACAAAGTGGTGTGCAGTACCTGCTCCTCCTCCCCCTGGTACATGTAATAGTGTGTTATAGGGTACACATGAAATTAGGCTGGGGACTTCACATGGACCTAAGAACAAGAAAATACAATTGGGGATATGGCTGCCTAAGCCCTTAGGTCTTCGGGGAGGCTCCAGCCTTACAGCACAATTCATGCAACAGAAAGTTATGGGAGTCGTCCTGGCTTGGCACTCACAGAAGTAGGAGCAAGATGTGGCCGCTCAACTCTGGACTTCCTTTTAGCATACTGTGAGGGTACTCGGTGTCAGTCAAGTGTCACACCCTGAAGTTAGCAGGTCTACATGGCCACAGGTTCTGCTGGCAGGCTGCAGCCAGCTCCAGCTGGCCAAGAGGCTGGAGACTGCAGCAGCATGGAACAGGGACAGCAAGTGCCTACATGAAAGGTCGGCTCCCATGTTGGGGATATTCTCTTCATTACCCAGACCCCTGAGCTAAGGCAGTCCTGGCACCCTCAAGCTATTGCTATGAAACCCTTGCCAGCTTTTGGCTGAAAGTCATGGCAAGGAGAAACATATTTTGAAGAAGGGGAAAATGTTCCAGTGGTAGCAAAGTTGTTCAGATTGTCCTGGCTTCTTTCCATGTCATTTAGCTTGAGCCATGAGTTTTCCCTGTGTATGTGTTTATATGCAGGAATTATTCCAGGATAAAAGGCTTCCTTCAGGGGTGTATAGCTGGAATATGTTGTGTACAACCTGATACAGCCTGACTGTTCAGCTGTTGTAAATTGTTACAGCTCCACAGAGGTTCTCCTGTAACAGAGGAAAACCTACTCCCTCCTCTTGGCCCAGCTATTCTGTTCCTCACTTGAGCCACACCAACAACCCCAGGTTTAAGAGATCGATCGCTGCCTTCTCTTTTCAGTCCTCCAAAACAACAACGCTGCATCTCCCTGCTTCTCTCACACACATTACAAGCAGTTTCCTGAACATCCAGGATTACAAATGTGTTTCCCCATAAAGGACACACTTCTCAGCCTGTTGAACACTTCTTGGCCCTGCAGTGTGTCTACTTACTATTAGCTGGGACTTACTTCTAGTAAGAAACAAAAAAAGCACCTATGAAATGCTGCAGAGAAGTGCAGACAAAGAACATGGCCAATTATCATCATTTGTAATTCTCTATTCTACTGTAAATACATCTTGTACATACTTGGATGTTCTCATCATTTACTGTCTTCATGTGTTAAATGAGACTCTTAGTTTATTGTGTAACACTGTAAATAACATCATGTCCTTTATTATTTATGCATAGGCATCTAACACTTGGAGAAAGTTATCCTCATTATTTTAAGATATATGTCAAAAAAATGTTGCATTTTTCTTTTTGCTTTGAAAAAATTGTAATATATCCTCTTTTTCCTCTCTTTTCCTTTAAAAGAAAAATGAATGCTAATTTATTGTTCAGGAGAGAAAGGGGATGTAACTGAAAGGCAAACTGTTCAAAGAACATGCTATGGAAGCCACAAGCTACTGATAAACTAAAGAATTTATTATCCCAAATACAGCAATAAGTAATTGTTGATTTATTAAGATTTTGTTATTAATTTTCAGTAAATGAGGTGCTGGATTAAATTGTTTATGTGTTGTACTGACCCAGCTGCCCAGCACACTGTGTCAGGTCACTAGCCACTGTCTTTCTGGGCCCAAATGTTGTAAAGGTCTTGTTCTGTCTTTGTGGGCTGCTGTTACCTGAGTTTTCTGCCTTGTCCCTGTGGAGGTCTCTGGCACACACCCTTGTTCCTAGGTAGAACACTTTTAGTTTCTTAAATTAGAATTATTATCTTTACCCTGACCATTGCTACTCAAGGTGGATGGGGGGTGGGGTGGGGG